TTCACATCTCTTAGACCATAACACAATTAGGGCCATTTAAACCAATGAAAACCTACAAATTTTGTCTGCAACATACTTGAGAAAAATATGACCATCACATCCACATCTAAATATTAAAAAAAATGGCTAAAAATTATGGAAGCATTAAAAAAGAAAAACCAGCACTCAATTATATCAACTATGAACACGGCCACAATGTGCTGACCATGATTGTAAAATAAAAAGATACATTTGAATATCACTATTGATATACATATGTAAAAATCTACATATTCAGTTAAAAAAAAACTTTGATAATGGTGAATAGAATTGTCAAAATCATTCGGATATATAGAACATTTGAACAGAAAAGAAAACACTTGTAAGAAAAATTGTATAAAAAACTCAGTCACAGAGCTTTATCAGTCAACTTTAATGAAACAGTAATATTAATCTATTTTCAGGGGTATTATTAAATTTGTTTGGCATTGAAAATATTGCATCATCTGTGATTGCATCAGATTTTTATCATGCCCAGACACTATTGTCTTGACTGTTGATTAGTTGTCTTATGGCCATTGTCTGCGATTGATGTTACTTTAAGGAAGCGTACAAAAATTGTAACATTGCATGAACACAATGGCAAGCCTTACCAATGAGCAAATCAAAGTACTATCAACTAACCCGGAAACACCTCTGATTTAAATCCAACTGAGAATCTGTGGTCAATCTTCGTGGAATGAACATACAAAATACTAACATGTGCTTGTTTTACTGGAAAAATATGAAAAAAGTAAGTAACAGGATTATTCATTTTGTTTCAATTAATTTGTTCAAGGGTATAGGCTTTATTTACGCAGCGCCACACGTTAAAATGTCTCCATTCCTGAAAGAATTACTCCTTTCCCAAGCCAACTATAAAAAATGTTAAAAAATTAAAAGAAAACAGATTCATAACCTCATGTCATTTAAAATATATAACATATAAATTAAGCCCAAACTGAAATAATTTAATCATTAATTTGCACTTTAAAAAAATAATTTCAAGAATATCACTGACTCACATTTGTTTATTAGACACTGAATTGTGTCACTTTGTGTTCTCCATACTTTGACTAACTTTTCAGCCAACCTGATAAATATTTATATGAGCATTCTTAAATTTAAAAATTTTGAAAAATCAATAACGTTTTGCTTTTGTATATAAATACTTGTTTCAAAAAAAATAAAATCCATTTTTAATGTTCTTCTTTTCCATCTCCTTTCTATTCTCCTTTTTTCATTTCTTATGTCTCTCCTCTTTTCCACCCCTCTAAAAAAAGTTTTCTCATCTTTCTTATGTCTCCTCCTTTTTCATACCTCTACTCTCCTTTTCTCATCTCTTCTTATGTCTCTCCTCCTTTTCCACCCCCTCTACTCTCCTTTTCTCACCTCTTCTTATGTATCTCCTCCTTTTCCACCTCCTCTACTCTCCTCTCCCCTCTTTTTTATCTCCTCCTTTTGTCTTTCTACTCTCCTTTTTTCACCTCTTCTTATGTCTCTCCTCCTTTTCCACCTTAATCTACTCTTTTTTTCTCCCCTCTTTTGTATAAACCCTCCTTTTCCATTACTCTATTCTCCTTTCTCCCCTTTTTGTTCTCCTTCTTTTTCCATGAAAATCTCTTTTCTCCCCTCTTATTCTCTCCTCCTGTTCCCTCCTCCTATCATCTTTCTTTTTTCTTTATTTCCCCTATGTTTTTTACCTGATTTTTTAAACTTTTTCTTTTTTCTCCTCCTTCTCCTCCTCTTCTCATGTTTCTTTTTCCTTTCCTTCTCCATTTTATTTCTTATTTTCCTTTTTCTTGCTTTTTCTCCCCTCTCCTTATCTGTCTTCTTTTCCTTTTCCTTCTTTTCTTACTCTTTCCTTTCCTCTTCTTATCTCTCTCTTTTTCTCCTTTTTATATATAAGCAATTAATGGATTTTTTTTTTCAATCTGATAATTGAGCCTTGTCATGGTAAAGAATCTTCAAGGCTGAAATGGTAATACAATGCTGAGCTAAATGGTAGTCTGCCAGAAAATAGGAAATTCAATTCCTACTGATTTGTACACTTTCTTTAATATGACTAGGCCAGTAGATGTTAGCAGATAAACAGCAATGTCTACCCACAAAAATAATATTTATAGTAATCTTATATATATGCCCAGTCTGCTCTTTATGCTTCACTGAGTCTAAAAGCATCTCTGCATCCTTGTGGGTGACAAATTATTTTCTACCCTACAACCCCTTTGTCACAGACGTGATGTCGCAAGCCTCCTCTGCTCTATTGCTATTTACATGGAAGAACTGCTTCCAATAAACGACTACCTTGTGGAACCAACTCCCAAACCACTATGATGCTGTTCAAGTCTATGGTTAACTGTAATCTTTGATATATATTCAAAAACATATTCTTTAAACCCTCTAACTTGAATAACGTCCAGGCTTTGTACTGGGCAAACACCATTGTTATATATAAATTACACAAAATAGAAATTCAAAATTACCCCATTTGAATAGCTATTTCAACCCACTGTTTATATATGCTCCTCTATAATAAATATATTAGGATTCACTTGGATTATATACCTATGGATTGATTATTCTATGTATATATGTGTATATATATATATATATATATATATACATTAAAAAAAATTCTCAAATTGCCATATTAGTAAAGAATGCACTCACTTAAATTTATAAAAAAAAATTCAACCTTTGCATTGTGACTGCATGCTTCATAAGTTCATATCTGTTACCCATAATACATTTCAAAAAACATATTTCGATTCACTTTATATTTTTTCATCTTGGATGCTACCCGCATTTTTTTATTACTGTCTATAGAGTATATACACAGTATATTGTGTGTGTGTGTGTGTGTATATATATATATATATATATATACACACAAACACAGCATACATATACTGTGAGCATGTAGCTGAGTGGTTAGAATGTTCACATTCTGACCATCAGACCCAGGTTTGAATTTCACCCTGGTCGATTTGTCATGAAGGAAACTTCCTGATGTTATCAGACTGGAGGTGTCAATCCCAGCATGCGACACCTTTAGAAAGTGCCTGAAAACCATACCATGGGTTGATCCAAGCCTTGTGAGTGAAATTGGGTAGACAGAACCATTGGGGTCCATCAATAGCTGTGCTAGCACAAAGTCACAAGTCATCATGGCCGAGTACTTAAGTGTGTTAGCTTTGTTCAAATTGTTGATCATGATTGTTTCCCAGAAACTGTAACTACGGTCTGCTCAGAAAAGTTACAGTATAAACCACAAGTGGGCTCTGTGGATGTTGAATAAACACAAATGCACCTGAGCAAGCATCTGCAATAGGGATTGGCTAGCTGCCCTAGTAGAAAGTTATCCTCGAATATGAGTGGTCAGCTATACATATACTGTTTATAAATATATGCATTGTGTGTATATATGTATGTGTGTATATATATATATATATATATATATATATATATACACATATATTTGATATATATATATATGTGTGTGTGTGTGTGTGTGTGTGTGTATGTATATAGAAATATTTGCTTCAGGATGAAATGGAACTAATGTCTTTAATTACAAAGTTAAATTCTAAGCTTTTAGCTTCCATTTTTGAAACATGGTTAGAACTGTGTAGAGAAAAAAACATTTTAAATCAGTTAATTTATAATATATGTGTGTGTGTGTATATATATATTATAAATTAACTAGTTTAAAATATGTTTTTTCGCTACACAGTAATAATCATGTTTGAAAAATCGAAGCTAAATGCTTCACATTTAATTTTGTAATTAAATTAAAAACATTAGTTCCATTTCATCCTCAAGCGAATATATATATGTGTGTGTGTGTGTGTGTGCGTACTGTATTTATATGCATAGATGATTATATATACAGTATGCTGTATATATACAGTACAGTATATATTTATTTATGCTATATACACATGTTCATAGTGTTTACATTATGATCATAACTACTGGTAGTTACTATAGTGGTTGCATAACTCAAAAATAATCCCCTCCCATCTGTGGATAATTGGTTTTAACAGATAACTATTTCCATCCCCACTGTTAGTCCATATGGGAAGTTTGTATACATATAGATTGAGTATGAATCTGTCAAAATAACAAGATAAAGAACGAGTAGGAAACAGATTTCAATCTAACATGTTTCACTTTATTAAAGCTTCGTCAGAGATCAAGATAGAAATGATAAAAAATGATAAAAAGCAAAGAGACACAGATAAATGCTATGTTGTGTTTGGTTATTTCTTACTGTTTAGATACGTGTCATGTGTAATGAAGTAACAGATAATATTCAAATATGTGTGTTAAACAATCTCAATGCCAAAGTGTGTAAAATTTAGTAAGATGCAATAGGATGTTTTGATTGGATACATGTTATGTGTAATGAAGTAACAAATAATATTCAACATAAGTGGAATAAAACATTCTGGATGTTAAAATGTGTATAAGTTATTGAGACGCTGCAGGATGTTTTGAAAAATTTTGTTTGGTTAGTTTTTTTTCATTAAAGTATATCTTGTGCATATTTTTTATATATATTGATTTTTTATGTATTCGGAAGAAATAAGTTAGATTCATGAATAATGAATCTGTAGAAAAATGGAAATATAATGTAGTTTTTAAATGTGTGTTAATAGTTTTATATATATATATATATATATATATATATGTGTGTGTGTGTGTGTATGTGTGTGTCTTGAGCAATAAAAAAAATGGTAAAAAATTAAAATTTCAGATGCACTGGGTTGTATACTAATATTTTTTGTTTTATTATTTAAATGAGGTTCCTTGACTAGTCTTGGCCATCATCAGGAGAAAAAAAAATCCCTGATTGTTAGTAGCAGTAAACTGCAGGAGTGAATGACTGTCTCTGAAGAAAGTGAACTTTGTAGTTTTCATTTGTTTTTTATTGATAATTTTGGTCAGTCCTTGTATTGGTTAAATGGCCCCCACTTTCAAGCAGAGGTGAGAAAAGGAGAGAAAAAGAAGGTGGGAAAGAAGGAAAGGTAGAAAAGCAGAAGAAAGTTCAGATAAAAGGAGAGAAAGGGGAGGAAGTAGAAGAGTGCTGTAACCTAGAAAAGGTTACTGAATGAGGAATAACCAAAATGGAGGTTGGAAATGAAATGGTAATGTTTATAACATCAACAAAATACAATACTCGCCAGCAGCATATTACCGCCACTTACAATAGTATCCAACATATTTATGAGGATTGGGAAATACCCATCAGTGTTCATAGGTACACAGTATATAACAAAGAGAAAAGCAGAGGAGAAAAAGAAGGGGAGAGAAGGAGAGGAGAAAGAGAAGGGGAGAGGAGAAAGAGAAGGGGAGAGGAGAAAGAGAAGAGGAGAAAAAGAAGGAGAGAGGAAGAGACGAGAAAAAGAAGGAGAGAGAAAGAGACTAGAAAAAGGAGGAGAGAGGAGGAAAAAAGGAGAGAGGAGAGAGGAGAAGAAGGAAGAAAATGGAGGAGAGAGGAAGAGAAAATGGAGGAGAGAGAAGAGAGAAAAAAGGAGGAGGAGGAAGAGAGGAGAAAAAGGAGGAGAGAGGAAGAGAGGAGAAAAAGGAGGAGAGAGGAAGAGAGGAGAAAAAGAGGAAGAGAGGAGAAAAAGAAGGAGAGAGGAGAAAAAGAAGGAGAGAGGAGAAAAAGAAGGAGAGAGGAGAAAAAGAAGGAGAGAGGAAGAGAGGAGAAAAAGAAGGAGAGAGAAAGAGAGGAGAAGGAGAGAGGAAGAGAGGAGAAAAAGAAGGAGAGAGGAAGAGAGGAGAAAAAGAAGGGTAGAGAAGGAGACTAGAAAAAGGAGAAAAAGAGGAAGAGGAAAGGAGAAAAAGAAAGGGAGAGGTAAGAAGAGGGGAGAAAAAGAGAGAAAAAAGGAGAAAAAATAAGGAGAGAGATAAGAAGGGGGGAAAAGGAGATAAAATGGGGGAAAAGGAGATAAAATGGGGGAAGAAATGAGGAGAGAAAGTATGTCAAAAAACATGGGAATTGTTATTCTTAAAAAAAAAAGAGAAAAATAAAATTAATTTTGAACGTTGTCTATAAAATATACTGATGGTAGCAGAAGATGAATTTGTCAACAAAAAACAAGAATAAAGTCGACAGATCGAAAACAACTTCACCGTCCCCCTCCAATAATAACCATTCATCATTCAAAAAACCTGAATAAAAATGGAAGCAATATTTTATGGAAGCAAATTGTAATAATGAATAATGATAAAATCCTAAATTATACTATCTATTTAAATATGCAAACAAATCAAATCAAACCAATACGGCATACAGCAACATCATGTTAAAACACCATAACATCACTAAAGTTAAGCAACATCAAGCCTGGCCAGTACCCAGATGGGTGACTGCTTGAGAATACTAGGTGCTGTAAGCTTGGACGTGTGGGTGGTGTAATGGATAATGACCCAGAATTGTTAATCAGAAAGCTGAATTTCAATTTCAGTCACGTTCATTATATTCGCTTACATGCAAATACTCTTGGGAAAGATATGCATCTACCTCTTTTCCACCTATTTATGGGTTAATTAGTAAAACTTTTACCAATAAAGAATTATCTCCAAAAATAAAATAAAATCATGTACAAAAAAAGGGGGGGGTTAGAGATTTCATCAGTAAATAACCCATACAGGTATTAATATACCGCTAAACAAAAACAACTAACAAACCAATATGAAACTAATAATAGAAACAGTATTAATAAAAGAATCATTAGAAACAAAGAAAAGATGACTGAATTATTATGTAATAAAGTAGTAAATACTAGACACACGGATGAAGAGATTTGAAACAACAGGAATGTGGTCCTAAAGAATTATGCTGAGAATACAATTGACTGGACATATCAGCAACAAATTTGGTTGGTTGGGTTTTATGGCATATCAACCACTGTAGGTCATTTAATGCCAAATTAAGTTATATACACACACACACATATATATATATATATATATATATATATATATATATATATATATATTAAATATACACTACAATTAAACGTATAGCTGGCAACATTATTTTTTTTCCAAAAAAACGTATAGCTGGCAACATTATTGTTTCCAAAAAAACGTATAGCTGGCAACATTATTGTTTCAAAAACGTATAGCTGGCAACATTATTGTTTCCAAAAAAAACTTATAGCTGGCAACATTATTGTTTCCAAAAACATATAGCTGGCAACATTATTTTTTTCAAAAACGTATAGCTGGCAACATTATTGTTTCAAAAAAAAATATATAGCTGGCAACATTATTGGTTGTTTTTCAAAAAAACGTATAGCTGGCAACATTATTGTTTCCAAAAAAAACGTATAGCTGGCAACATTATTGTTTCAAAAACGTATAGCTGGCAACATTATTGTTTCAAAAACGTATAGCTGGCAACATTATTGTTTCAAAAACGTATAGCTGGCAACATTATTGTTTCAAAAACGTATAGCTGGCAACATTATTGTTTCCAAAAAAAAACTTATAGCTGGCAACATTATTGTTTCCAAAAAAAACTTATAGCTGGCAACATTATTGTTTCCAAAAAACGTTATAGCTGGCAACATTATTGTTTTCAAAACATATAGCTGGCAACATTATTGTTTTAAAAACAGTATAGCTGGCAACATTATTTTCAAAAACGTATAGCTGGCAACATTATTTTTTTAAAACCTATAGTTGCAACAATTGTTGTTTCTGGCAAAAAAAAAACGTATAGCTGGCAACATTATTGTTTCAAAAACGTATAGCTGGCAACATTATTGTTTCAAAAACGTATAGCTGGCAACATTATTGTTTCAAAAAACGTATAGCTAAAAACAAAAAAAATGTATAGCTGGCAACATTATTGTTTCAAAAACGTATAGCTGGCAACATTATTTTTTCAAAAAACGTATAGCTGGCAAATATTAATGTTTCAAAAAAAAACGTATAGCTGGCAACATTATTGTTTCAAAACGTATAGCTGGCAACATTATTGTTTCAAAAAAAAAAACGTATAGCTGGCAACATTATTGTTTCAAAACGTATAGCTAGCAACATTATTTTTACTCATTTCGTTTAAAAAACGTAATAAATAGCTTTCAACATTATTGTTTCAAAAAAAAAAACGTATAGCTGGCAACATTATTGTTTCAAAAACGTACAGCTGGCAACATTATTTTTTTTAAACACCATATCTGATTTTAACATTTTTGTTTCAAAAACGTATCGACATACCCAGGAATATTATTGTTTTTAAAACATACCCAGGATGCATTGACAATGAGGTTCTAAAAAAATGGAAATAAAAAGGACAAGAGAATTGGAATTTTCTAAAAACATAACGAGGAAAGAGGGTCTGGAAAATTTGATACTCACAGGACATATTGAGGATCACAGGAAAGCAAGTACATGACCTAGCTAACAAACTTAAATGTTTGACTAAACAGAGATTAGGAGAGATAGCAAAAAGACAAACTTTACTAAAGGCTGCAAAGGACATGAAATAGTGGAGAGCCATGATCGCCCACATCCTGATGGGATATGTCACAGAAGAAGGAGGACGACGAGCTTGTGCAAATGGTTGGCAGAACACGGAAGAGTAAATATGGCAAAAAGACAAACTTTACAAAGGACAAGAAATGGTGGAGTAGGGATATCAAAAAGAGACAGATAAGTTTCTGGAGGTACTTAATGAGGAAAGAAGGCTGGAAAATTTGATACTCACAAGACAGAAAAGAAGCCAAGAGGAATAACAAAGACATCCAAATGAAATTTGAGTGAATGGATGGTTGAACAGGGTTTTTTTTTCCTGGTATAAAATACAAATTTTACTAAGAGCTACAAAGGACAGGAAATTGTGGAGTACCATAATCTTCCACATCTTGAAAAGACACAGCACATCAAAAAAGAAAAAAGCTTCTGAAATTATTCACATTGTTCGGACTGTTGTCCTCATCTTCATTGTCATGTTCATGATGTTTTGGCCATTGTATGCTTCAGTCTTTTTCAGGTGATTGAAATTTTGAATTGAACTCTTTATTTCTGTCAAAAAGGAAAAGGTAGATTGTTCTAGTTCTACGTCCCAAAACTCTTCTAGATATCACATTTATCTTCCTTTATTCTCAAGCTTTAACATTTTTGCTCACCACTGCCATAGCCAGGTATTGAACTCACAAGATCCAACAAACGATTTTATCCACTGAAGAAGGCCAGAGTGAACAGCGTCCGAAACATTGTGAATGTGGTAATAAAGATGAGGACAACAGTCTGAACAATGTAAATAACATAAATAATTACAATACCTCATCTCAGAAATATAGACAGATCCTGAAGAAGGCCTTACTGTACAATGGCTGAAATGTCGTGAACATGACAATAAAGATGGACAACAGTCCAAAGAATGAAAATAGTGTAAATAATTACAATACCCCATCTCAGAAATATAGACAGATCCTGAAGAAGACCTTAGCACACAATGGCTGAAATGTCGTGAACATGACAAACATGAGGACAACAGTCAGAACAATGAAAAGAGTGTAAATAATTACAATACCCCATCTCAGAAATATAGACAGATCCTGAAGAAATTTTTTAAAGCACACAATGGCTGAAATGTCAGAATAACATGACAAACATGAGGACAACAGTCAGAACAATGAAAATAGTGTAAATAATTACAATACCCCATCTCAGAAATATAGACAGATCCTGAAGAAGGCCTTAGCATACAATGTCTGAAATAACATGACAATAAATATGAGGACAGCAGTTGGAAAAATAAAAATAGTGTAAATAATTATAATAACTCATTTCAGAAATATAGACAGATCCTGAAGAAGGCCTTAGCGTACAATGGCTGAAATGTCATGAACATGACAATAAAGATGAGGACAACAGTCTGAACAATGAAAATAGTGTAAATAATTACAATACCTCATCTCAGAAATATAGACAGATATTGTGTGCTTTTATTATTAAATCTGTTGGAATTAAAAATGACAGTTGTTATTTTTGACCGATTCTTGTATGACTATTAGTCTGTGATTCTTTATCAATTCAACCCATTCTTTCAAATTTAGTATAGAGTTTCTGTATCAACTCCTTCCAACCAGAGTTCTACAAAATATCTTAAAGAGTTCTATAATAAATACATATAAACTAAAACAATAAAATATTTCCTAAGTGTAAAAATTTCTGCAGACAATATTTTATATGTTTGATAAATCCCAAGAGAAAAGCAAAAAAAAAAAACAAAAAAAAAAAAAAAACTGATGGCTGTCTGTCAAAGAAAATCTCTGAGTGTGTTAACAAAATATTGGACCAAAAATTCAAGAATTTTATCAAACAGGATTGACCCTCATGTCAAGATTTTTTTAATCATTTCACCCCAAGAATGGTAACAATGCAACTAAGATGCAAAGGGATAGTGAGAGTGAAAGAGTATGAGAAGAATTGAGGAGAAAGAACCTCCAATTTTGAGCAATTAATTTTGATTAATGCTTACCGTTGTTTTAGGACCCGATTGTAGTCATCTCACTCCTCTTTACGTACAGAGTATAGCCCAAAACATGCCCCCACTTTATTTAATTTCTATTTTAAGCCTGCTTCATCGCTTTACCATGCTAGATAGCTTTTCATTGCGCCTTCTTCATCGCTTTACCATGCTAGACAGCTTTTCACTGAGCCTTCTTCATCGGCATGGGATGCTAGACAGCTTTTTGTATCGAGCCTGCTTCAAAATTTACCATGCTAGACATTTACCATGCCTAATCATCTGATTTTTGCTACTAGCTTTTCATTGAGCCTGCCTCATCGCTTTACCATGCTAGATAGCTTTTCATTGAGCCTGCTTCATCGCTTTACCATGCTAGATAGCTTTTCATTGACAACTGCTTCATAAATACCATGCTAGAATAGCTTTTCATTGAGCCTTTCATCGCTTTTTTCATGCTAGATAGCTTTTCATTGAGCCTGCTTCACTTTAAAATCATGCTAGATA